TGACGAAAAGTGAAAACCGAAGGATTAGCGCTGGGTAGAGGGGCGCGGCCAGTCGCGAGCAGGAGGTGGAGGGGAGAATCGAAGCGAGCGACGAGAGACGAGTCGCCGCGTTCTTCGAGGAGGACCGCGCCGACGGAGCGGCTGAAAGGGGGGGGGGGCGAGGGCACGCGGGGTCGCGCTCGCAGACTCAGCCGTCGCCGTCCCAGTCGCCGTGGCGTCGAGTCGCTTCGGTCAGAAATCACTGTCGCGCGCCGAGAAAATTCGCTCGGCGATTGTTTATGTTGAAACACGCTCGCGCAGGAATCCCCGGCACCGGCTTCCACGCGAGAAAAAGAATGTCGGTCCCGTTTCTTTTCCCTTTCTGTTAGGCCGAGCGAGGACCGTCGCGCGAACGGCGCAATGTACGCTGTTTCGGGAGACGTACATAGCTGCCAGACAAGGGTGCTGTCTGGACGAATCTTTTTCGATCACGACTTCCGATCGAATCGACGAAATTATCATGCTGTTGATCGTCGTTAGAAATTGGTTTTCGAGATAGCGTTGCGAAAGGAAGTACTGCGATTTCTCTCGGAAATGCCAAAATTCGGGTTACCGTGAATTTCCCTGTGCTGGTCCTGCGCCTGTGTAATATTTATTGCTACGTTGATGCTAAGGGTTAGACCGAGTTGGTCGAGCCAACGGAAATTCGAATTCACGGAAATGCGATAAAAAATGGTGTGCTTGGGTGTGAGTCAGTTAAAAATACCGTGAAGTTACAAGGTACCTGGTATGTATCGTGACATACGGCCTCCGAATTGCCTTGAAATCGAGTCATGTGGCCTCCAGTTTTCCTTCGAATCGTGTCACGTGACCACCGAATTGCCTCTAAATCGAATCATGTGGCCTCCGAATTGCCTTCGAATCGTATCATGTGGTCTCCGTATTGTCTTCAAATCGTGTCGCGTGTCCATCGAATTGCCTTTAAATCGTGGCATGTGGTCTCCGAATTGCCTTTAAATTGAGTCATGTGGTCTTCGAATTGCCTTCGAATCGTATCATGTGGTCTCGGAATTGCCTTCGAACCGCGACAAAAAAATTAGAAACAAGAAAGTTAAGTCACCGTTCTTATTCTAGCATTATCATGTATTCATATTAACGTGTGCCGGTATGCTGGTCGCTGTCTTTCTTTGCCGACTGTCTCGAGTTTCTATAAAAATGAGTCGTGAGGCCAGAAGAATCGCGACTTAGTACTCTCAGATCTGCCGGTTTCAATTCCGATCTCCGAACATTTTTCGGAGAATTTACCATACTTGTAACGTAGATTATTAATTTCATACCTGTCTCGAACGTAGGACCATCTTCGAGCTTCGGACAAATGGGAATATATTGGATTATTTTCTCTCTTTTGAATACTCAGAAGTTTTTCCTTCTAGCATATAAGTTACAAAAACGAATCGACGCCGAGAGTCTCGCCAGAGTACCATTAGATAAACAATGATTTCATATGTATATAGAACAGAGAGCTCTTTGTCTTTAGGTGACGTTTTTGGTTTCGTCTTTGTGAACAGTCTTCAGTCTCCTGGAGCAATCAGGAGAGTAAAGACGGTCCTTCCTCGTACATCAAATTAATAAACTAAAAGGGATAAGTTTAATTCACTGCGTTTTACTTTTATTTATCTACCCATTTCCAATAGAATAAAATAAATTCTCCTCAATTGTCCTTCAGCTTGTGTCCAAAAATGGACAATTTGGGAAGAGGAGATACGATTATTAGTCGCCGATTGTCAACAACTATGAAAAACGAGCCGCCAATCGTATCTCCTCTCCCCAAATTGTTCATCTTTATATACAAGCTGAGAGACAATTGGGGAGAATTTACTGTGTACGACTAAATAGAAAAAAAAACATTGCAGTCTTTGGGAAACGAATATGTATTAGGTCGAGTCATGAATAACTTCCGATGCATCTAAATAGAATCTGTTGTTCATATCTACCCACAATGAGTCATCGATATTCACTGTGAGTCACCCACTATGACTTTTGCTTCCAATAAATAGATAAGGGTTCGAAATAAATAAGATAAGAAANTCGAGTCATGTGGCCTCCAGTTTTCCTTCGAATCGTGTCACGTGACCACCGAATTGCCTCTAAATCGAATCATGTGGCCTCCGAATTGCCTTCGAATCGTATCATGTGGTCTCCGTATTGTCTTCAAATCGTGTCGCGTGTCCATCGAATTGCCTTTAAATCGTGGCATGTGGTCTCCGAATTGCCTTTAAATTGAGTCATGTGGTCTTCGAATTGCCTTCGAATCGTATCATGTGGTCTCGGAATTGCCTTCGAACCGCGACAAAAAAATTAGAAACAAGAAAGTTAAGTCACCGTTCTTATTCTAGCATTATCATGTATTCATATTAACGTGTGCCGGTATGCTGGTCGCTGTCTTTCTTTGCCGACTGTCTCGAGTTTCTATAAAAATGAGTCGTGAGGCCAGAAGAATCGCGACTTAGTACTCTCAGATCTGCCGGTTTCAATTCCGATCTCCGAACATTTTTCGGAGAATTTACCATACTTGTAACGTAGATTATTAATTTCATACCTGTCTCGAACGTAGGACCATCTTCGAGCTTCGGACAAATGGGAATATATTGGATTATTTTCTCTCTTTTGAATACTCAGAAGTTTTTCCTTCTAGCATATAAGTTACAAAAACGAATCGACGCCGAGAGTCTCGCCAGAGTACCATTAGATAAACAATGATTTCATATGTATATAGAACAGAGAGCTCTTTGTCTTTAGGTGACGTTTTTGGTTTCGTCTTTGTGAACAGTCTTCAGTCTCCTGGAGCAATCAGGAGAGTAAAGACGGTCCTTCCTCGTACATCAAATTAATAAACTAAAAGGGATAAGTTTAATTCACTGCGTTTTACTTTTATTTATCTACCCATTTCCAATAGAATAAAATAAATTCTCCTCAATTGTCCTTCAGCTTGTGTCCAAAAATGGACAATTTGGGAAGAGGAGATACGATTATTAGTCGCCGATTGTCAACAACTATGAAAAACGAGCCGCCAATCGTATCTCCTCTCCCCAAATTGTTCATCTTTATATACAAGCTGAGAGACAATTGGGGAGAATTTACTGTGTACGACTAAATAGAAAAAAAAACATTGCAGTCTTTGGGAAACGAATATGTATTAGGTCGAGTCATGAATAACTTCCGATGCATCTAAATAGAATCTGTTGTTCATATCTACCCACAATGAGTCATCGATATTCACTGTGAGTCACCCACTATGACTTTTGCTTCCAATAAATAGATAAGGGTTCGAAATAAATAAGATAAGAAAACCAAAATAAAAGATAAATAAAAAAAGCAATGGGTGTTTGATAAAAGAACGAAAGTTATTTACGACTCGACCTAATAATTGCGTCCTGAAAGACCTCTGAAACACAGGAAGGCTGGTCGACGTTAAATACGACCGAACGAATAAGCGCAAGCCTGGATTAGGATGAGTTGCCGTTTGAAATTGAATGCGCGCGAAATTATTTCTGCCACTTGGCTTACGCAGCTTACGAAAAGATACCATCGCCGACACGGCCGAAAGGCGTGTCCTGTCACTGTCGAGCCTTCTCTACACAAGTACTTACCGGAAAAACTGTCTTCCGCTCTTCTCGATTTTCTGTTTTTCGTTTTCAGTTTTCTACGATTTTCTTGCGATTCCTCTTCGTGCGCGTTCGTCTCCGTCTTCGCCTTCGCGCTGGCAGCAATGTTAAATTTTATGAGATTAAATCAAGAAGACGTAGTCGTCTCTCTACATCGCAAAAAATGAGGCCTAACGAGTTAGTCCAGTTTCAAAAAAGTTATTGTGTTTTAAATGGTGTACGAACACTTTTGTGGGCCACTGTAAACATTCGTATATTCGTGTATTCGTATATTCGAGTATTCGTATATTCGTGTATTCGAGTATTCGTATATTCGTATATTCGTATATTCGTATATTCGTATATTCGTGTATTCGTGTATTTGTATATTCGTATATTCGAGTATTCGTATATTCGTGTATTCGTATATTCGTATATTCGTATATCCGAGTATTCGTATATTCGTGTATTGGTATATTCCTATATTCGTCTATTCGTATATTCGTATATTCGAGCATTCGTATATATTCGTATATTCGTAATCGCACTCGTACATTCACATATTCCTATTCGTATTTGTGTTTGTGTAAGGGATTTTGTCATTGCAGTTACCACAGTCGTTTTTATATTTGTATTTATATATATAATATATGTATATATTAATTATGTACACGTTTTATACAAAAATGGTTTCGCACCTTTATACATAACTTTGTATAGATATCTTTTCGGTCTACGTACATCCAACGATAACACGATTCGCGCTCGATATAATACAATTGTTCGGTACGAGGAGCGATCGTCGTCTCGATCGAAGTTCGTTCGACTGGTTCGCGACGCGCCCGTGTGTCCTGTCTCCTGTCCCGTCTCCTGTCGAGTGCGATCGAGCGCGTTCGAGTACACGATTCGCCTCCGATCGGATCGAATCGGAACGGATCGGATCGGATCGGATCGGTTCGAGTCGATTCTCGCGCTTCTCGGCGGCATTCATACGCGACGTAGTCTCCTCGCAAGCGGTCGCAGCTTAAAAATATTAGAAATATCCCATATACCCCTAAGTGGTTTCTCTAAGTAACTAGCTCGACATTGCCACATTTATCGTAACGTAGTATTCAAACGTAGTGTTTTGTTTTTTTCTCTTAAACGATTCGCCGTCCTTTTCCTCCTACAACGCTATACAACGCACCGTCTTTAGAGGTATATTGTACAGTTTTTTTTTTATAGAGTAAAAAAAGCACCGTCTCGAAAAACCGGATTTTAGTTTTCTCGGTACGCGCGCGCACGCGCTTATACACACATACATACATACATATAGACACACATATATGTTTATACACACACACACAAATATATATATATATATATATATACATATATATATATATATATATAAATGTATATGTATATACACACACATATATGTATGCGTATATGTATATTTCTATATCACATTGCGTTCGCCGAGTTTCCTCTCGGTTCCTCGGTTCTTCGATCGTTTACCCACGACCCGGGAGTCGCGATTCGCGATTCGATGTTTCGCTTGTATCGCTGTATCACTGTTTTACGCTGTTTCGCTGTTTCGCGGGGGAGAGGGGGGGGGATCAGACTCCTCGGAGACCGAGCGACGAGCGACCAGTCGCTTCCTACAAGTATAAACCTACGCTCCCGAAAGAAAAATATATGTTTAAATGTTTGCCCGTGCGTCGTCCCGCAGTCTCCGAGCGCTGCGGCTACCGTTCGCTGCGCGATTCCGACGTTGGAACGGGCCGTCGCGGACGCGTTCGCGGCCGCATGGTCGCCGACGGCCGCGGATTCTCGAGCTCCGATCGGGATCGAAGGGGTTCGCCGCACCGTCGGGCGCGCGTCGCTCGCGAAGGCCGCGTTCCACGGTTTTCAAAAGAACAAAGAATAAATCCGCGATCCTCGCGACCGCGGGAGAACGATTATTTGACGAAAGAAACAGAAAAAGAAAGGGGCGGAGGGGAAAGACGCGGCCAATTCCACTGGATGTTTTCCTGCCTCGTCTAGGCGCCCGTTCAAGCGCCATTGGGAGCCACCCGCTCTCGTCCCGCGGACATTCTACTCGAATTTCGCGAATTGTACTCGAATGTCCGTCCACGGAGGTTGTCCCGCCGTGGCGGAGCCAATCGCAGCCGATCGGCGTCTTCCCGGCTCCCAACGGCGCGGCCGCGCATCGATCACCGACGAGGGCGACGGATTGTTCCACGAAGAACGGTTTCGCGGACGGGCCGCGCGACTGGCCGCGAGAACGGGGAGAAGAAGGAAAGGACAGGGGCGCGCGCGGTTCGTCCGAGTAAAATTTCTAACGGCACGAAACGAAGGGGCAACGACGGAACAACGTGGAAACAACGAAAAAGCGACGCGCCGGAACGACGGATTTCCTTGCGGAGAGGAAAATCGCGGCTCGGATGCCGGCGAACGCGAAGAATTCTTTTGCCGGATCCGCGGGGGCGCGTCGAGTCCGATCCGCTTGGCGGTCGTAGCACGGTCGGACCGCGGAACGAGACGGAAAGCGACAGTATTACGCGGAAGCTAGCTGTCGCCAGACAGAATGTCACATCGTGGACATGTACGGCCAGTTGAAACTGCTGCCGCTCAGCAGCATGTCCCTGATCAGCGTCTCGATCGGCGTCTTCCCGACCAATCGGACGAAGAACAGCTGTTCGATCACTTGCGACGACACCGTCCTCAGCGACGGCAACCGGAGCAACAACTTGCCGAACCTCGTCGGCTGGTTCGGATACTGTGTCCTGCAGTACTCCTCCAGGGCGCACTGGGACTTCTCTTGAAGGGACTCGATGTGGGCGACGTCCGACAGTCCGCAGGCGTCTGAAACAGAACGGGACGATGTTTTAGCGACGGTATAGGAACGCGCGTCGAGGCAGAGATGTCGAATCTCGGAGTACGGAGAATTCTTCTCTGTAGCGACGAGGAGAATTTATGAACATAAGTGGACAGTTTGGGGAGAGAAGGTGCAATTGTTCGAGCCTCGCGGCTCGATTTTACAGTCGCAGATCGTCAACGACTGTAAAAACGATCCCCGAGGCTCGGATAATCGTATCTCCTCTTCCTGAACCGTCTATTTTTGTTAACACTTTATCGTCCGGTCGTGGTTGAGGCTGCCACTCAGTAAGGACTGGCTTAGTCGCGCGCGCATTTGCTCCCAGTACCGGCTAAATTTTCGCTATTCATTGTGTTGTGCTTATTCCTTTAAAAATAATAATAAATAATAATAATTATTATAATTATAATTCATAAGGATATGGGGAGGTCAGCATACAGGAGGTCAGCTACTAACAAAACAGTAAAGAAGCGAAAACCGTCGATAGCTAAAAGTCGATTAATAGGCTATCGGTCGATAAGCATTGGCAATCGAAAAGCCGATTAATAGGCTAGCGATCGATAAACATTGGCAATCGAAAAGCCGATTAATAGGCTAGCGATCGATAAACATTGGCAATCGAAAAGCCGATAAATAGGCTAGCGGTCGATAAAGTGTTAACAAGCTGAGGGGCAATTGGAGAAAATTTATTGTACACACAGCAAATTCTCCCTAATCGACGCTCAGATTGTGCACCAAAATTTGTGATGAGGAGATGCGATTTTTCGAAGCTTCGCGGCTCGTTTTTACAGTTGTCGACAATCGGTAGCTATAAAAACGAGTCGCACAGCTCGAATAATCGTATCCCCTGTTCCTAAATTATTCGTTTTTGAGTACAATCTGTGCGTCAATTAGGGGAGAACTCGCTGTATTGCGACGACTTCTACGGTATTCGCGTAATAATTTGCGCGTTCGGTTTGACGATTCGTTCGAGTCGATATACACGGCGCGGCAATTCATTTTTAAGAACAGTAAAACGCGATCGAGACTCAAATTTGGGCCCCGCGGCTCCTTTTTACAGTTGTCGACAATCTGCGGCTGTAAAAACGAGTCGCGAGGCTCGAATAATCGTATCTGCTCGTCCCGGATCGCCCAATTTTGTTTGTAAGCTGAGGGACAATTTCAGAGAATTTACTGCGTGCGAGATCTCATTTTTTATTCAAAATAATCTCCTCTTGCTTGAATACACGCGTTACAACGAATCAAAGGGGATGCAGATGCATAATTCAGCAGATTTTGTGGTATTGCCGCTGATTCTCGCGTGGCAGCTGTTTGGTTGATCGGAATGTCCTCGAAAGAGCATCGTTATAACTTCAATTTCGATTTCGGAGATAAGGATAAAAAGAGGGAGGTCTCACGGGGCCAAATCAGGTGATCACGTCGGATGTTTGAGCGCATACGTTCGATTCTTGGCTAAAAATCGACGAACATCGAGTGAATTCCGAGATGGCGCGTGGTCGTGCAACAGTGTCCAACTGTTTTCTCCGTATATCGGTCGTCTTCCAGCGATTCTCTACCATTCGAAAATTGTTTATGCCACGCGAAAACATTTGATCGACTTAAACAAGCATCGCCATGCACTTGCTGCATCAAGCGGAATGTTTCTGATGCACTTTTGCCAAGTCTCTTTCGTTCAATTTAACAACCGCTCTCTGTTCCACGATACGATTTCAACGTTGACCGAAGAATCAAAGATCTTGGCCAGCAAGACCTGTCGTAACTTCCTCATTTAACGCTAGATTTACCGAATCCGTCAAAATAATGGGCCCTAGTTTTTTAATTTACGATCATTCGCATCGTAAAGAAGACACATTTGCGAGTTATTCATTAAATTTACACGTCACTTGCGGCAAATGTTAGAGTAACACTCGTTAAAAATCAGAATAAATGCCCTATTGTTATTTTTACAAACTAATATAAAACAACTGTTTCTTGCGCGCTCCGTACATCTAGCGTTAAAGGTGAAATTATTATTTCGCACTTCAAGTTAACGTCGCAAGACGTGTACGCGTAGGGTGATCCAAGGTTTTAAAATAGGTATTTCAAATGTTTGATTTTTCGTCCCATGAACCAAAATTGAGTCGACCAACTGTGTTGAACGTCGAAGCAACGAAAGGTTCAATTATTAAGGCAAATATTGTTTCCTTCGAAACCGTTGAAACTTTTCGAAATTGGCGTCACTGGAAACGGTAGTCAATACATCGATCGTTGACACTAGATTTACTGAATCCGTCAATATGACGGGTCACTAATTTTTTAATTTACGATCATTCGTATCGTAAAGAAGACACATTTGCGAGTTATTCGTTCAATTTACACGTCACTTGCGGCAAATGTTACAATAACCCTCGTTAAAAATCAGAATAAACGTGTCCTATCGTTACTTTCATAAACTGATATAAAACAGCTGTTTCTCGTGCTCCGTAAATCTAGTGTTAACGTTCGATTCGCATCAACCTGGGTGCATCGAACAGACAAATGATCATCGAAGGATGCTAATGCTCGACAGACGCCGCCGCTGCTCGCCCAGACGCATCGGCGACCTTAACCCTTTCGCTGCGAACAGCGCCTTTTGGCGCTCGGCTATAGACACTTTCTCTCAGCGAACAGCGCCTTCTCTGGCGCTCGATTATTAAATGTTGTTATAATATATTATATTAATTGTCTATATTATTTAAGATTATTAAAAATTACTAAAATTGTTATTACCATTATTATTACTATTATTGTTTGGCTGCCGTGTCGGCCAGTCGCCTCGAAGAAAGGACCAGCAAAATCGGTTTCACACACCGTCTTACGAGCGTCGCGCGTATCGCGTCGTTCGGCTGCTGAGAGAGTAATTCATTTTTAGGCGTTCCGCAGCGAAAGGGTTAAAATCGAATTGTCGCACTCTGTATTCCATCGAGAACCAGGCGTTTACACGCCGTCGTAACCGGCGTCGACGGTCGCGTTAACGGTTAAAAGCGCGCGTTGCGGTTAAAAAGTTTGTAATCAAGGTTCGCGAGAACGGCTGTCGCGGTCGGCTGCCGTCGGAAGAGGAGCATTTTAAGGGACGGCCGGGGTTGCCGCGAAAACCGCCCTCGGGCAACCAGACACGCAGTCGAATGAGACTAAGAGTCGACTCCGCGCTGCGCTGCTCCTCCACTCCTCTCCGCTCCTCTCCGCGGCCCGGGGAGCCATTGGAATGCGTGCCAACTGGGAGAGACGCTGCCCGTGCAAACGTCGGACTAATCATACGGGGTATCCCTTGATTTCAGCCCTCCGCACCGGCACCGCGCGAAACCTTCCGCCTTCCTTCGCTTTGCCGCTCGCCATTGTTTCGCCACCCACGCCGTGGATAATACGCCGTCACCCCGCTCCCTCGTCATCGACGCGGCCCCGGATCCTATCCCCGGGACACCGCGGTCTAACCCCGGATTATTCGGGACCGAGCGCGCCTCTTCTCGCGGCACCCGATCGACGAGCGACGAGCAACGATGCGCCGCGTTGCACCGCGATGCATCGGCTCGCGTCGGCTAGGTCGTCGATCAACCGAGCGATATCTCCCGAAGCTGGCTCTCCCCCGTTCCTTCTGGCCGCTAGCCCTCCGTGACGCGCGGACCACGGTATGTCCCTTCTAGGAATGCAAATCGCGTTATTCCCATGCGTACGCGTAATGGGCTATTACGCGCACGTGGCGGTCCCAAAGGAATTCGACGATAGCTTGCACCGGCACCGCACCGAAGCGACGCGACGAGACGCGACGATAGGGACGACCCGAGAAGACGACGTCACCGGCCCAGACCTTTGTCCAACCGACTCGGGGATTTTTCATCGGCCGGTTCGATGGCTCGCAGAAGGGAACGCACGCACACGCACACGCATGCGTACACATTAGTTTCGTTTACGATCGACGAGGGTTCAATTAAAGCAAACCGCAAGGAATCCGCCAACGCGCGACCAATAAACAAACCGTCGGATTGGCTCTCCGATGTCGTCAGCGCCAATTCACCGCATCAATTCGAATAATGCCGTTGAGTGGCGTTTCTGCTCCCCGACCCCTTCCCTTCCCTTGGCCGCTCGATCATGATTTCTCCTACCCCATCGCGACCCGTCCCGTCTCGTACCGTACCGTATCGTCTCGTTTCGTCCCGTTCCGTCTCGTTTCGTCGCGTCCCGTTTCAGCCGAGCCGCTTCGCTCCGTTCCGCTCGCGTCAACCGGCTAAATGCCCTGGCGCCTCGTTGACCATCGTCACCGTAAATTGACCGATTTTAAACTGCACAGACTCCCTTCTGGCATCGCGTTCTCCTTCGCGGTCTCCTCCTCCTCCTCCTTCTTCTTCTTCTTCTTTCTTTCCTCGCGACGCAGACGTCGTCGTATCGACGCCGATCCTGTAGGAAAAACGCGTCGACCGATCGGATAGATCGGCACCGGAATTCGAACTCGGATCCTTTGCTCGCCGGGCGACAGCTTCAATCAATTAAGCTATCCTGGCCGATCGATGAATAATACTTTTCTAGTCCTAATATTTCTTTTTCCTTCTTTTATCTTCTCGTTTGTACTTATGCGATTGCTATATAAAATCTTTCTAATCGTTGTCACTTCATAAATTTTACGTAATAAAGGGCTTTTCTGCCCGTACACTTGAATAGATCGTTGTTATTGGTTTAATTTATTTGTCTACACGGGTTAAATCCTATCTTTTTTATACAGACATTCAATACAGAACTAAAAGCTAATATTAATATGATACAGAGTCTGCGAATCGGCGGTTTAGGTGAACAGTTTACGTGAAACCGTTTCGAATTTCGCGATATTGGCTGCAAATACGTCTATTTTGTTCTTTGATCTGTTTTGTTTGGGATTTATATGTTTATTATCCCACAGATCTCAGACTTGCCGATTCCAGCAGGATTACAGAAAATTCTCCCTAATTCGCGGTCAGATTCTGCAGAAACGTGGACAATT